ATAAATATAATTTTTTAAAATATTTTTAAAGTGCACCTAAACCCAAAATTTTTTTTTCGCTTAACGAAATAAGCTTATTTTTTGGAGTATTTCTGTGCAAAAATTTTTTAATTTGCTCAAATCTTTAATTTTCTATGCCCAGTCAAAATACGGAAAATCGGCCGCCATCTTGCCCCACGACCGAGTTTAAAGAAGAATGGCTCTAGCGGGTAATGTGACGTCAAATCGAGAACACGAAAGTCTGCATCTCACACATTTTCACTTGTTTGGGAAGATTGTCGTCGATATTGTCCGAAATATGCCGACTAGGTGTGTTGTATGAAGAATGTATGAAGCGCGATACCCTCTTGCAAATTTCGCACGTTGCTACATCCTTCTACAACACACTTAGTCGGCATATTTTCGGACAATTATCGACTACAACCTTCCCAAACAAGTGAAAATGTGTGAAATGCAGACTTTCGTGTTCTCGATTTGACGTCACATTACCCACTAGAGCCATTCCTCTTTAAACTCGGTCGTGGGGCAAGATGGCGGCCGATTTTCCGTATTTTGACTGGGCACAGAAAACTGAAGATTTGAGCAAATAAGAAAATTTTTGCGCAGAAATACTCAAAAAAATAAGCTTACTTCGTTAAGCGAAAAAAAATTTTTTGGGTTTAGGTGCACTTTAAGATATATAATACTACTTAATTTTTTTGGAAATGGTTTCATATTTGACAATGATAAAAGTTTCTGGAAGTTTTCTGGCGCTAGTTAATTTCAATCTTATTTGCAACTATTTCATATTTCTCATGTAATTAATTGTAAATCATCTTGTGACACAAGAATTAGCCTTGTCATCTATAAAAATCTGCTAGATGGCTTTGTACTTCTTATTCGACATCTCATAGTTTTGGATATCACCGGTTCGATTCCTTAGATTTGAGAAAAGTGTCCTACTGTCGGTCATTTCTTGATTTGAAAACCGTGACCGGCAGTCGACTTAAAAAAAGACTAAGTGTCACAAACCATTAGTTTCGCTCCCTGAGCCAAGCGTAAACCAAGCGTTAGACTTGCGATCTTAAAGCTTTCCTGGATCGCTTGGTAGTTATTAATCGACGTGTGATACTTTGAACTGCATGGGTGTCTTTGACTCCTTACATTTGAGCAAAATATCAGACTGCCAATCATTTAGTGAGTTGAAAACCTTGACCGGCTGCCGGTCATTTAGCCACAGCGAAAGAAAAAACCGCTTATACAGCAAAAAATTGTCATTCAAGAGCACACTTTCTTTGCAAGACTCACAGCAAAGGATAATTTTCTAGCCTCCCTTTTTAAAATACACAGTGTTATGCGCAGTATCTGACCCTCAAATGAATTTTAAAAGACTTTACAGAGGCTTTTGTTGAATTACTATTTCAGGCAAGGGTACGTATACGAGGGGATTCGTAATCCACCATGTTAAAATACACAACTTCATGCTCAATACGCATTAAGTATTTGAACGATATCAGCTGCTAGCCCTCAAATTAATTTTAAATTTTGTTTTGCTGTGGGTTGATTTTGTATTGCCCCGAGTTATTTTATTTGCCGTGACTTATTTCATTTTGCCGTGAGTTGGATTTGTTTTGCTGTGAGTTTATCACATTTTGCCTTGATTTATTTTATTTTGCCACTTGTTATTTTAGTTTTGCCATAAGTTGGATTCGTTCTGCCGTGAGTTTACTGGTTTTGTCGTGAGTTATTCTGTAATGTCGCATGACGTTTCACTTGATTAAACTGATTTGAATTTGACCTCCACTTATGGGCCACCGCATAGAATTCCCTCGTGAAGTGATGAATTTTCCCGCAGAATGCCGCTTTCAGTGCCATTGGCGAAAACGAACAACGAATTACTTTACTTGTAATCTGTTTTTCAAATTCCAGACGAAAACGAAAATTGAAGTTGAAATTCGATTTTTACAGCGCCGCGAAAAACGAAAAAATTAAAAACGAAAATGAAATTGGATTTTGGTTTTTCTGCGAAATTGAAAAACGGTTCGCAGTAAAGTACACGCATTGAAAATGAAATTTGATTTTCCGTTTTTCTACGAAATTGAAAAACGGTTCGCGCTAAGGTATACGCATCCAAGTAGAAATCGGTTTTTTTACAGCGCCGCGAAAAACGAAAATGAAATTTGATTTTTGTTTTTCTACGAAATTTAAAAATGGTTGGCACTAAGGTACACTTATTGAAAATGAAATTTGATTTTCCTTTTTCTACGAAATTGAGAAACGGTTGGCACTAAGGTACACGCATTCACGTTGAAGTCCAATTTCGCTTTTTTACAATGCAGCGAAAAATGAAAAACAAAAAACCAAAAACGAAAAATGACAATGAAATTTCATTTTCATTTTCCTACGCAATTGAAAATCGGTTGGCCCTAAGGTACACGCATTGTTTTTTTGTAGTTTTAGAACTTGGTTAATCTACCTTTTTTGAGACGGTTAATAAATGTGCGGAGGAAAATAGTAGCCAGGCTTGTTTTCCCGAGATAAATCGAGCGTTTTTTGAATTTTCAGAGTTGCCAAGTGGGACGAAAACAGGTAAAACATAATTTAAAGGCAAATAACTTTTTAAATGTTAGGTACTAAACGAGTAATTTAATCTGATTCAGTTCTTTCTAGGTGCTTATGACATTTAATTTCTTGAGAATAAAGCATCGATTTACTGTCCAGTTGAATTGAGCCCTAATATCTATGTCTATATACCTTAATAATTTTACAACTTCCCTTTCAGGGAACAATTTCTCGGTATTTTTCTAACCTGTTGCATTAGCAGAATTTGCAATCTCTCTCCTTTTCTGAACGAGTACATACGTAGTACGGCCAGATAAGTTCCATATTTTTAATGAACTAAAGGAGATAAATTAAGTTCTGACTGAAATCCGAAGACTTCCTGAACAAAATAGGAATACAGAGGCAGATCATTTATGATAAGATCATTGGACGCCATATCTTTGAGATGTTGTGAAAATAGCACCTGCCTTATGATATATTACACCGTTGCGTGGAATGGGAAACTGGTGTGTTTAAGGTTTGTACTTTCATTTGGACCTAAATGTCCAACCTTTATTGACAATCTCAGTGAAAAATTGGAGAGTGTTGCCGATAATTTGTTGAATGACGAAGTCTTCTATTAGCCTATATCTTCTAATTTAGCCCTTTAAAACAACTTATTTTAGTCAAGGATGGACAGCAATTTAAAAGTAAGCAGCGAGCGTGCCTTATTTATATAATGTCTACGGGCCAACGGCGATCGAGCGACCGCATTTTCCCTCTACCCACGATAAGTCGTGTTGCGCATGCGCAATTCACGAGTTAAAAAGGTCCCTTTGTGAAAAATGAAACCCGACTCATATGAGGCTCGACCATATAGTTTGACTTGTAAAGTTATCCTTTCACTCACAAAAATTTATCACAAGCTTCTCACGCTTTTAGGTACCTTAACTATTATTGTTGGTGCATTGTTTGGATCAGTTGCTGCACTGGCTGTTTCTGGAGTATTAGTATGGTGGATGTGCAGGAAAAGGAGGCTCAACACGAAACGCACTGAAGGTAAGTGTTACATAAATGTTATGCTCTCAAATGAACACTAGCTTTGGCATCCCCAAAATTTCTCTTAAACATTTTTTTTTTCTAAGACTTCTGGCTATCCATTGCATTATGATCGTTGTTTTGACATCTATTTTTTTTTCAAAGATAACTTCTAAAATAACTATCTGTACACTTGAATACCCAACTTTATGTGCATCAAACAGACTTTACTTTGCTTGGGCGAAATTAATTCTGCTTCTTGATGACCATTATCTATTCATTATTTATTGTTTTATTTTGTTTCGGTTTGTTTTGTAAGTATTTTTTTTTTCATTTTGTTCCATTGCAGAGGTGACGATGAGCGGAAGGTGAGATTTTTGTGTCGACATGTTGCTGTTACTTGCGTTATTTCTTTAAGGCTCGATCTTTTTTCACGGCCATTTTAACACCCACTCTTTTTTTTCTGTGGATGTTTCTGCTTGATCCAAAAGTTAGAGGACAGAACACTTGTTAGCTCTAAGGCACCCTCGAGAGATCATTACACTTTTGTACAATGGATGTAACGGTTATCAGTTGTGAAATAATCTTAACAGCAACTACTTATACTTGTGTGTTAATGTACTTTTGTTTGATGTCATGCAAGATCGATGTATGTTACTTCCTAGTTGTCCACAATCAGTAGAGCGATCTCTTTCGGCTGTCTCACATTATCTTTCAAAAGAAATGGTCCTTATTAATGGTGGTCCTTATGGTCGACAAATTTGTGGAGCCTTTGCAAAGAAATTTGAGTTAATCTGATCAGGATACCGATATTGTTTGCTTTTCATTTGTATAGTCCATACAGATAGAGTCGGTTTTCCTCGAGCAGAGAAGACTGCTTTGATCTCATGATACTTTCTCCACTGTTCGTAACCGAGGGAAATGAAACTTTGAATGCATGAATGCAGAGGATGCGAAACCTCCTCTGGGTATTTGACTAAAACTCCCTGATATTTACACATTTACATATCTGAGAAACTTAGGGCAAGTCTACTTTGCTCGTCCGTTTTCCAGCTACTTTTTTAACTTTACCAAGCTTTCTGAAAAGGTTTTCTGTGATTTAGACTGATCAGGCAGAGGGGATTGGATTAGTTTTGTCTTGTAACTTATTTTGTGTTGTTGTTTTAGAACATTTGAAAATTCGAGTAATGAAAGAAGAGGAGTTTCAGATGTAAGTTAAACGATGAAATATTTTACCTTTGTGTAGAAACATCTTCTTGTAGTCTAGGTTCTTCTTTTACGTTGCTGTCTTTTCTGAGAGTTCTCCCACTGTGGTTGACAGTTTGCCCGAAACCAGAAGTTATGCATCATACCGACTTTACGTCGATTGTTCCTTGAATTTTTTCAATAAATAAAGTAAATGGCGTATTTTAAACACAGCTGGTTGAAGATTAGAAACAGTTTCCAAGGCTGTCAGATAGTTTATAGTTTTTTGTTGAGTTGAAAACAATTTTGTCTTTAAGATTGCAGTCGAAATACCAAAACCTCCTCAAAGCCAATACATGGCACTAGATAACAGATCTCGTTCAGAAGTGATGGCAGATGTCAGTCCACTGAGTTGTGAACAAATCAGCGAGTATGCCTCTCTAAATCCATACACACGCTCCTGGGAGATTCCTAGAGAACATGTGACAATAAAGCAGATCGTTGGAAAAGGTAATTTTGGTCAGGTTGCCAAGGCAACAGCCATTAACCTACAAGGAAGAGCCAAGAAGACACTCGTAGCGGTTAAAATGTTGAAAGGTACTAAGTAATACTGACTTCGTTTTACGTAATGGTCTTTGGACAGACTTGGTCGTCTGTTTAAAATGTTCTGTTTTCTCTCAAACTTTTGCTGTTTTGTTTTTAAGCGTATGTTTCTGCATATTCGCCAATTTCTTGTTTGTAGCTATGAAGTTTTAAGATGAAATGTAGACATTCCCCCTCAAAGATGGTTACACTTTAGAGCCTCGATCGGTGCTCAAATTGCTTTAACGAAGGAAAGTACCTCAAATATAATGTATGGTAAAGTTGAATGATATCTATCTATCTACCTATCTGTCTCTCTATCTGTCTATTGATCTCTTTTTCTAGCTGTCTATCCGCCTGTTTGTTTTTTTGTCTATCTACGTAAACCAATATAAATGGTACAGTTTTATGATGTAATTGTGATTTTACAAATTAAGGCACGTTATTTAACGATGGCTGATTGGAAATCATATTTCAGAAAACGCTTCTGAATCAGAGAGGAAAGATTTGCTGTCTGAACTTGAATTGATGAAACAACTTAAACCTCATCCTTACATCATCAAACTCCTGGGATATGTTACAAAATCTGGTAAATCCTAAAGTGTTTTAATCAGTTATGGCTAACGTCAGATGAAATAAGGTTTTGAAGTATAAATCTTTTTCGTTTTCCTCGTTATATATGGTGTTTAAGCCCTAGATATCTTTCCTCTCCATCAATATAGTACTTACTTTACCTCAACATATTTAACGCAGGTATTATTGCTTTCTAGAATAAGAGACCGGCCGCACTTTAAACATAATTAACATGGAAAACATACTTTATCAGCATGGCTACGAGACGACTCAACTGACTTGGTACAAATTGACCTGGCAGTTCGTCCTTTTCAGCGAAGTCTGTTGCGCGATTAAAAAATTATGGAAAAAAGATTAATGTTAGCACGTCGTGCAGACCTCTGGGATTGAGGCGCACCTCATACCTAGAGTCCTGCACAGAGCTCGTAGTTTAAGTAAAGCGAGGTTTGCCTTTGACGCATATTTTGTTCTTGCCTGTACGTTAGAGGTCTTGATAGGGCTTATCTGAGGGCAGAGAACTAGTCACAGTTTCATACTGTCTGCTAAATAGCAGCTAAGATTTAAGATCAGCAAAATGTACTGGTAGATCCTAAATGGGCTAATAAACTAATGAATAAAAGGAGTAAGTTTCTAAAGAAATGGTATTATTGTGTCGGTGGGGGAATATAACAAGGAAATTATGGTTTTATCAGCTGAGTTTATAATGCAAATTGGCCACCGTAAAGAGTTTCAAAGCTGACGTTTCGTCAGAGCGAGTTGCGAATTCGCTCTGGCTAAGGGCTAACGCTGGAAACGTCAGCTTTGAAACTCTTTACGGTGGCCAATGTTCATTATAAACTCAGCTGATAAAACCATGATTTCCTTGTTATATTCCCCCCACCAAAGCGAATTCGCAACTCGCTCTGACGAAGGGCTTATGCTCGAAACGTCAGCTTTGAAACTCTTTCCTGTGACTAATTTACCTCTTTATTATTCATTTTCCAAGTTTAGAAACTCGTGGCGACTTTGGAAATGTACGTTAGTTGATATTTTATTTTCTTAGAAACTGTCAATGAACGTCAACCTCTTCCAAGTGGCTGCGGCGTTTATCAGAGGGCGATGTTTACTGGTTATTTTGCTTCCATCTGCGGCATGTTATTGAGTACTGACGTTACCTTGTTTGTCTTACTAGAGCCACTGTTGGTGTTGATCGAATATGTTCCTTTTGGGGATCTATTGGGTTACCTGAGGAAGAGCCGTGGATTAAATGACACTTACTACAAAGACCCGGATTTCAAACCACAAACAAATCTGACGTCACAGCAGCTAATGAAGTTTGCTTGGCAAATTGCTGAT